TCTAAACTTGACCTCTTTCAGTTTAAAGCCATTACTCCTTTGTCCCCTCCATACATGTCCTTGTAAAAAGTCCCTCTCCAGCTTTGTTAAGCCCCTTTAGGTACTGGAAGATGCTTTAAGGTCTCCCTAGAGCCTCCTCTTCTCCAGGCTGAACAGCCCCAACTCTCCCAGCCTGTCTTCACAGGAGAGGCACTTTAGCCATCTGGTCTTCATGGCCTTCCTCTGTACCTGCTCCCACACAAGGTGCTCCTCATGTTGGGTGCCCCAGACCTGGATGCAGCACTCCAGGTGGGGTCTCATGAGAGCAGAGTAGAGGGGAGAATCCCCTCCTTTGTCCTGTTAGTCACCTGCTTTTGATGCAAGCCAGGACACTGTTAGCATTCTGGGCTGCAAGTGCACATCACTGGGTGATATCAAGCTTCTTATTCACCAGCATCCCTAAATCCTCCTCCTCACTGCTGCTCTCAGTCCAGCCAGTATTTGTGCTTGGGATTGCCCCAACCCACATGCAGACCTTGCACTTGACTTTATTGAAGTTCATGAAGTTCACATAGGCCCATCTCTCAAGCCTGTCTGGGTCCCTCTGGATGGCATCCCTCCCCTCTGGGTGGCATCCCTCCCCTCTGGGTGGCATGCCTTCCCTCCAGCATATTGACTGCACCACATAACTTGGTGTCGTCATTTCTAGGAGGGTGTGCTCCATGGTCTTGCCACACACGGAAGTGAGACTGATTGGCCTGTGGTTCTCTGGGTCTTCCTTTATTTCTTTTTCCAGTTTAAGGTTTAAAGATATTTTATAAAACTATTTTGGGAGGAGGTAGAAAAGAAAAGCACTAAAACCTTGAGAAGCTAAGAACCTGTAGTGTTCCTTGAAGACCAAATACAGTGCTGCCAGGAGGCAATAAATGTTAATAGTCTGGGAAAGAACCTGCATCCAGAAGGTGGAAGTTGAACACGGTCCCTTGTTCACAATGCAGTCACAGGAAAGTAGGCATTGTTGGCTTGCTGCTTATGTGATAGCCAGTTAAAAGGGTGTAGTCCCTGTTTGTACTGTGTACTCCTTTGACTTGCTCATACAGTTTTTGTACTACTGTGGAGAACCTAAATTCCAATTGCCACGTCTCAGATGCATGAGGTCACTTGAATCTGACACAGGTTGGTTGGTACTGCTGCAGTAGTCTCCTTGTTTCTGTTCTTTGTGCTGGCTCTAGGGTTTGGGCTGTTGGGGATCTGATGTTGCTGGAAGCAGGATTGTTGGAAATTAGCTGACTGGCTCGCTGAGTGGCCACCCAAGCACCAGCATGACAGAAGAGCAGGTGATGTGATGTGGAAGAAGATGATGTTTGATACCACTGTATGAGGGGCTAGCTTCCATGGCTGTTCCCACAGCCTGTGAGCATGGGCTATCCGCTGAGGACTCCTTAGCAAGTACAGGGCATGTTTACAGCTTCGGGTCTGTAAGACATGGGAAAGAAGCTGAGATTCAGATTAGATGTGAGGACAAATTTTTTCCCTGTTAGGGTGGTTGGGCACTGGAGTAGGTTGCCCAGGGAGGTGGTGATGTCACCACCATGTTAATAGACATCTGGATCTGGCTCTGGAGGATGTGGTTTAGGAGTTACAGCAGAGTGGGAGGCCAGTGGTTGGACTTGATGATCTTAGAGGTCTCCTCCAACCTTGATGATTCTATGAAATCTTCTTTTTTCCTTTTTCTTCCTGTGAGAAGCTTGGTTGGAGTAACAAGGGTGCTCATGGATGGGTGAGATGAGCATCTCTGAACTTTCAAACGTGTGGCAGCCCAGACTAGCTACATGCCATGCACCCAAACTATTCTCTACATGCCAGCAAATTCAAAAAGTGTGGTTCCTGATTGTCAGCATGGTCCCTCCTGATGAGACAAACATAGGAAAACATGGAATAGCTTTTAGATTCCAGTTCAGTGTGAAGATGAATTCTTACTGCTTTCTTTTTTCCCCTGAGCTCCACTGGTTTGCACAAGTTAAGGGGGAAAGTCTTCACTACAGGATGAGTTAAATCAAGCTAACAATTTTGTAGTAGAAACTTTGCTTAATGCCACTTTTGCTGATTGTTGTAGGCACTTAATTTGTCAACAGTCTTGATCTCAAGCTACGAGCAGGGAATGCTAAGTGTGGGCTCCAGCTATTTCTGCCTGGAAGGACTGTGGAACTGCATTTGAGAGAGAGCTCTGGCCACAGAAGGGTCTTGTTTGTAGGCAGAGCCTGTTGTTGTCCAGCAAAAGGAGTGCGTGGAGTAACCTAATTTTTCTGAAATATGATAGTTACCTTTCATCTTTTTAGACCCCCAAGTTAACTCTCTGAAATACACTAATGTTCACAGAAGCTTGTGGGACACTTCGGGACACTGCAAATGGATCTTGGGAAGGCTGTTGCTGCCTGAATATTATAAAATAGTATTCATAAGAGAAAAATGCTTTATTCCACTGTGGAGAACAGTATTGTAGCTATTAGATGACTATTTTTTTGCCAAGTGGCTGATTGTTAAAGCAGAAAAACCTTCCGCCAAATTAAAAAAGGAGCTGGGTTTCTTTCACAGCTAGAACTGGGTTGCCCCAATTCATTTACATGTTCAGAAAATAGTTTAATTGTTACCTCATGCTTACTTCAGAAGAAATACTTTTAATAATCCTGCACTTCTGACCCATTGTTCGAATTACTTGGGAATAGAACTGTTTCATTTGCTAGTCATCCTAAATGAGCTTTTCACCTGATGTTGTCACATTATGGGTAGCTGTGCAGTAATTGGACTTGACAGAGGAAGTGAGACTGAGCTGATGCACTGTTTCTGTAAATCAGTGGTGTTCAGACCCTTGGAACTGCAGTTCTGGAAATGCAGTTTCTGTCTTTGCAGGGGGCAGGCATCCTTATTGTTCAAAAATAAATGTCAGATTAAACAGTAGGAATGGCATTTGCTTTGAGACGAGTCTCTGCTCTTGCAGTTTGAGTTTCCTGGTGGCTGATTCCAGTGAGTGGTTTACATACTGCCTTGGAAATGGAACAGTGCTTACGTGTGACCTTTAGAGTTCAGGAGGATGCAGTCATCTGCTGGAGTCAGCTTGCATGTGAACAGAGGAACTGCATGCAAAATGTTGTGTCAGGATTTAGCAGGGCAAGGCTTAGTGCAATGTGCAGATGACCCTAAAGAATTGCCATGGAATTTTGAGCAAATTGCAACTTGTCACGGTTAGCTTTCATTTATCCTGAATTAACATTTTTCTTTCCTGAGCCCCAAAAGAGAAGATGAGAGGAGTGTACACGACAGTTAAATACAATGTCAGCCCTTAATTAAGACCTTTAAGTAAATATGGGTCCTGAAGTGGAAAGCTTCAGGCTTCATTTACTTATGTTTCTGACACATGTTGAAGTATTTGGAGCTTTTTTTATGATAGGAGTTTTTTGAGTGGTTTAATTGTTTGGGTTTTTTGTTTGTTTGGTTTGAGTTTTTTAACACTGTTTTTCAGATCCTTGACCAAAACTTTTTAAGACTTAAGATTTTATCCTTTAGGAATCTGGGGAATTATGACAGATTCCCTTCTACTTGAAGTAGGTTTTTCACTTATTACTACTTACTGCTTAATGATGTGTGCTTCATGTTATTAGTTGCAATGGAAATGGTGTGAACATTTATATTCTGTATGCCTAGGTAGAAAAATAAGATTTTTCTTTTGCTTCTGTTAATTGTTGTTAGTGTATCTTACCTGTATGCAACCAGGTCAAAAATATGTGGCATCAGGAGAGCTTTCTGTGTCTTGACAAATGTTGAGATCACTGTGCTAAACACTTTTTTACACAGCTTAGTCTCTGAGCTCAGTAATGAGATACAGATCTCTCAACAACAAAGTTTAGCTTTTAAATATCCTTGAAACTGAGAGAAAAATGATGATGTATAAGAAGTAGAATTGCAGTGTAAGCATGCAGCTCTGAACTGGCTGGGGACCTCTCATGGGCATAAGCACAGCTGTAATTTTGTGGCTGAAGTGGGTTGAGACTGGAATGTATAATTCTAGAATAGGATTTTTTTTTCCTTTAAATTGCTATCTCTGCACTAAACCAGATGTATAAATGAAATCACCAAAGTGCTGTTGGAGACCTCAACTTATCAACATTGTGGTACCATCTGCCTTAACTCAGTAGCCCCAAGTACCCATGTTTTCAGCCCTCCCACAGTATATCTCCCCTCATTTCTACCAAATCTGCTCCATCTCCCTTCAGGAGTTTTAACTTTCTCCTCTCTCTTCTTCACAAGACCTGTGCCCTAGGAAAAAGTAAGTCCTAATGTAGCAGTGGGTATGATGAAACTGTAGTAGACTCACCCTGGGCCTGCCTCGTGGATGCTTCACTTCTGCATCCCTGTCAGAGGAGAGGTCTCCCTGTGCTGACACCCTCTGTGCCTTGCTGGATACTGGGGCAGAGGCCAGCGTTGTGGCCCAGAGCAACCAGCTGCTGCTCCCTGCCTTTCCTGAGAGTCAGAAAACGATGCTTTGCTGCCCTCATCCTGTGCTGAGTAGCTGAGTACCAACACTGTCACAGCTCGTGTTTCTGCTCCTCCTCATGGTCTGTCTCAGGAGGGCAAAGTGATAGGGATGTGGAAATCCCACCTTTGTTACAGTTTATAGGCTTCTGTGAATCTGCTGCAAACAGCAGTGACTCAAACTCAAGTCTGCAGTGTTTAAAATGTGGTAAACAGGTGACCAAAGGAGGTTCTGGTTGAGCTGAATTCCAGTTCATCCAGGCATGCCAGCAGACATGATGCTTCATGTGCCTTTTAAAGGTTGCCTAGTTGGAATCCTAAAACACTGTTAAAATTGTTGTACTTTTAGTCAGAATTTAACCCTGTTTTCAACCTTGATCTGTAGGACACTTCTGGTTTTACTCTCACTGGGATTCCAGATTTAGCCACAAGTATTATTCCTTCAGGATCAAAGTGTGTCTGTAATAACATCATTGATTTTTGTTTCCTAGGCTGTGAAGATATTATTGCTGAGAGCATCTCACTGGACACCTTAATTGCCATCCTGAAGTGGAGCTCTCAGCCATACGGTTCCAAGTGGGTCCATCGTCAGGCTCTGCATTTCCTCTGTGAGGAGTTTACCCAGGTCATGACTTCAGAGGTCTTCTATGAACTCAGCAAGGACCACCTGCTCACAGCTATTCAGTCTGACTATCTACAGGTAACCTGCAGTGCAGGATGCAGCTGGTCCTGCTGCAGGCAGGATATGTTACACCATTACTGGAGTAGCTGACTTGAAATTGTAGGCGAGAGTGGGTGTGAACACACCAAGAACTGCTTTTATAATACACAAGAATGAAACTGAAGTAGTGATTAAGGAAACTATCTTGTTCTTGGCTTGTAACACACTCAAAAGTGATATTTGATATTGCTGAGAAGCCTAATAATAGTTTATAAATGGCTGCAAATTATTTTAAGCGAAGCATTTCTGAACCTAACATTTGCCTCATGTGTGTAAGAGTTTTGTACAATTATGTGGTGGTAGTAGTTTTGCTGTAACAGCATACATACTAATTGGGGGCAGTGGGAGCTAGTAAACTAGTAATCGTTCAGAAGACTTAATTTATTTTTTTGGGGGGACAGAAAAATACCTTTTCTGACATGTATGGCAGAATTTGGCTTTTTTTGTGACTTTCCTTCAGTGACTGTGTGGTATTAGGGAGAGAAAACCATACTGACCACTAGAAAGCTTTTATATTTTTGTTGCCATTTCTCTTCATGGGAGTTATCTTTATACTAATGACCAGCCTTTTATAGCTGAAAGATAACTGGATTTTTTGAAGTCTTTAAATTTTAAAGGATAAATTGTTGGAGATTATTTGAAGTGGGGTTTTTTTGGTAAGTTTTGTTTACTTTAAACATTTCAAAAATGTCAGTAACAGCACTGTTGATCTTCTGTGAGACTGTATATTATGACTAAATTTCCTACCCTAGTTGTTAAGAAAATTATGTAGGTAACTTTGAATTTTTGTAGTACATGATTTTTTCCTATAAGAATGCTGAGTGGTTACTGGTTAGTGCAGGTATATAGGTATGAGCAAAGCAAAGTTGCTTTATTTATAGTGTTCCTGAAAATCTTTCTCTTCACATAGATGATAATTTAGAGGGCTTAATTATTTCCATAGCTTTCCAGGCTGTGCAGATGCTGAATTTATAATGTTAAACAAAAGATCCAAACACTCAGAGGCAGAACTGCTCCTTTTAATGAAATTCAGTAATTCAAATTTAATACCTCTAAGTTTCCGAACTAAATCAAATTTATCCTTCCCTAGAAAACTCTTTTCCCTCTTCCTAGGGATTCAGTAAGTGACATGAGTGTAGAAATGATGGTGGTGCTATACCAGTGGTACTGCCTCAAAATATGAGGAGAAAGCAGTAAGCAGATCATACAGTGCAACTCCTTCTTGCTTTGGTACAGTTGTGTTTCTTCAGAGCTTTGAAAGACCTGTGTGTGTGATTGATTGATTGATTTTGGTGTGACATTAAACTGAGCATGTACAGATTGCTGACTTTTTATTTCTACCAGGCAAGTGAGCAAGATATCCTTAAATATCTGATTAAATGGGGAGAGCACCAGTTGATGAAGAGAATAGCAGATCGAGGTGAGGAGCCATTATAAACCAAAATGTATTGAAGTTCTGTTTTATGGGTAACCTGTAACATAAGGAAATCTGATCTCCTTTGTTCATAGTATAGTCAAAACTGAACAATGTACTTGTGTTTTTGAAGATTTTGTTGTCTGAAAAGTGAGAACACAGGCATTCTGAGGGTGATGGGAGTGTTTAGCCTCTAGAAGGAAAGGCTTAGGGGGAAATCTTAGCAAAGATTATAAATATCTAATGGCATGAAGCAAAGGAAATAGAGCCACACTCTTCTTGTGGCACCTGAGAGGCACTGAGGCACTAACTGACAAAAAAAGTGCTGTTTAAAGAGAAGAAGCTGTGAAGATGGTCAGACACTGGAACAGGTTGCCCAGAATGGGTGTGGGATCTCCATCCTTGGAGGTATTCAAATCCCAAGTGGATGTAGTTGGGGCAGTGTGCTGTGCCCTGCCTGGGGAGGTGTGGGAAGCAGTCATTATGGCAGGACCAAACTTCTAGAGGTCCTTTAAACCTTCCTGATTATCTGATTTTTAAGTCTTGTTGGTTTCCTGTTGTCTCAGAATTATTTTTCTTGTAACCAGTTCATCAAATAAAAAAACCCTGCAGGATCTTTTACTTCTCTGTGCTTATGAAAGCTTCTCACAGTAGTCTTATTCTTAGTTTACTGTGTCAGCCTTTCACTTCAGTTGGAGTATGTCTCTCCCACAGAAATCTGTGGTAGTGAGAAAAAAGCCAACAAGTGCCATCAGATTTTTTCCTAAAGTAGATATAGATGTATTTTTATGAGCTGAGATGCACATTGTTGCTACAGTGGTAACTTCAAGGGCAATCTCACATGTGTTGGATGTGGGAAGTAGGTTAAACATGTATTTCCCAAATAACAACTGCAAGTAGCTTGCAGTTCATCTGTACCACAAAGTGTCCATCACATTGTGCAACAAGAGGAACGGAAAGGGAAGGACCTGCCTATGTGGAAATGGAGCAGTGCTGGTGTGACTGCTGTCTTGGGAGGGCTGACCATGTTTCTGAACTCCACTGTTAGTGCTTGCAGTATCACTGCTTTGTCATGGACATGTTTTACGAAATGCAGCACAAAGTCAGTTAAAAGATGTTTTTTTCTAGTGACCTGAGTAAGTATTAACCTGTTTTCAAAACAGGATTTTCTAAGTGTTTGTCTTAGGGCACAGTGGGTCATAATGGATCCAGTTAAACAGTACCAGACCTGGACTGGGGCAGAAGCTGCTCATTTGGAGTAACTGCACAGCTTCCTGCTCTGTGGTGTTCCATAAGTAAACAGCTCACTTCTCTTCCTTGGGATCATCAGATAACACGATAAGCAAAAACAGAAATAAGAGCTGTGTCAAGTTCTGTCAAATTAGGGCCAAATTTAGACCAGTAATTTTTTTTCCTGATTCTGCAGCTCTGAATATGTGCTTGTGTCACTCAAATGCCACAAGTCTTTAGAGGCTGTAATGAGCTGTGGCCAAAACTTGAGCTGCCTGTGTTGAAGGAAGATGGATGTGTTTGACAGGTTTCCTCAAAGAGTGAAGCTAGTCAAAGTTGGGTTGGGCACAATACCTAAAATGCACATGAGGTTCACTGGGGGGGGAGAGTGACCTGAGTGTGTCGTACTTTGTCATCTTGCTGTCCCTAGGAAGATACCCAATCCCAACACAAATAGTATCCTGTGACCATGGGAGCAGTGTGAATTTGGCACAGTTGTTAGTAAGGTGGGTTTCACAAGGAGGCTAGAATAATGTAACCCAGTGGACTCTTCAGGCCTTAATTTGTGGAAAACAAGTCTCTGAAAACTGCTGGGAAAAGGGAGAGGAGCTGCAGGAGAGAGTCCTTGGGGGAGCTGCTAGCAGGAAGGTACAAATGTTTTCATAGCATAGCTCTTCATGGAGCTTTAAAAGTATTTACCCCAAGCACTGTGTTTGTATTTTCTGCTTGGCTTATGCTTTGAAACTGGCAGCTGTGCAAATGACCTGTGCTTGTATAAACTGAGCCTGTCTCTATGGATGCTTCATATCTGATTCTAAGACAGGAAATAGTTTTGTGGCACAATGTTGATGACCACCGTTGATTTACAATTAGGATTTTCTTTCCTTTTCTGAAACTCCCATCGGCCCTGTAACTCCTGCTGCCCTATTTAAACTTCTTGATGCAAACCTAGCGTGTCTTGTTCCTTCCCACAGAGCCTAATTTACTCAGTGGTACTGCTCACAGCGTGAATAAAAGAGGTGTGAAGAGGAGAGATCTTGACATTGAGGAGCTGAGGGAGATCCTGTCTCCACTTTTACCTTTTGTCCGCATTGAGCACATCTTACCCATGAATAGTGAAGTACTGAGTGATGCAGTAAGTCAGGACAAATACTATCTCTGGGTTCTTTGTGCTTCAGATGCTACAATGTTCAGGTGTGGGGTTTGGGTTTTGGGTTTTTGCTACATGTTCAGGGGTGGGGTTTGGGGGTTTTTTTTTTGCTTTGGTGAGTGTTGGGTTGGTTTGGTTTTTTTGAAGATTAACTTCTAAAATGTTGTCATTGAGAATAATACATGTGTAACTCTCTGGTTAAATTTTCTGTTCTTTAAATCTATCAGAAGGCTAAAGAAAAATCAATGGTGTAAAGATCCAGTGTAAAAAAATGGATGTATTGCAATATTTTGCCATATATTAAAAAAACCCATAAAACTCTTTCTTGATTCTTAAAGATGAAGAGAGGCCTGATTAGCACTCCTCCTTCAGACATGCTACCAACATCAGAAGGTGGAAAGTCAAATGCCTGGCTGAGGCAAAAAAATGCTGGAATATATGTGCGGCCAAGACTGTTCTCACCATATGTGGAGGAGGCTAAGGTAATAGTCATCAGCAACACTTGTCTGTTGTCAGGTTGCAGTCTTCAAGGGGGTTCTGTAAACAGGGAAAGATTCTGGTATTTTTTTGTGTCTCTTTACATGTACTGGCCTAAACTACTAACATTTTCAATTTAACAAGACTCACAAGATTGATCATCAGGCTCAAGTCTCTAGAACTGGTCAGAAAAAAATTTCAACCAAATTTTTTTTTGTCGAAATTGAAATGTTTGCGAGACAGATCTTGATGAAATTCCAGCGGAAACAAAGCAGCGTTCTGAGGGAAACCTCCCTGGTTTCCAGCCAGTTTGCCGGCCCAGCTCCTCGGCAGCCCTCCCGGCAGGCGGATGGCAAGGTGAGAGCCTCAGGGTCCCACTTTGCAGCTAGTCAGCAGCTTTGGTGCCAGGTCTTTCAGGCTCCCCAGCTCCCCCCAGAGCTGGGTGGAGAACTGCTGTTCCACTCAGCAGAGGACTCTGATGTTTCATCTTCTTCTTTGAATCAGAACATGCCCCAAAATATTTTGATCCTCCGCAAAATGGAATAAATATCTCGTGTCCAGTTTGGCTGAAGTCCTTTGTGTCCCACTCAGGCAGTAGCTTCCCTATTTAATTTCTGGCATGAGGACTGTCAAAGTGAAGATCTTGTCGCATCTCTGCTGGTGCTGTTTGGTGACAGGGTGGAGATGGTGCCGTGTGGGGCAGGAACATGCCACGTTCTGTTTGACAGAATGGGAATCCTTTGGGCTGCTGACTAATGCCACCACGTTAGGTAGCTCTGACTTAATTTGAGAGCTCAGGAGTCCCAGCAGTGCGGGTGACTGCAGAACAAGAGGATTAGGTGAAGCTGTGTACATCCCCATCACCTACAGACTGACCACTGCTCTGATGAACTCAGAGCTTTTGCCCTGTGCCTGAGAAGGAAAATGTTTTCTGAGGGGATGAGCTGTTGTCGATGTCCTCTTTGAGTGAAAGGAAGAAATAAAACTACTTTGCACTTTGGGCACAAAGTTGGAGAGCAACAAGTGGCACTAAAACAGCAATGGAAGACTAGCCAGTTAAAATGTTATCTTTGTATCTTGAATTGATGAAACTAACAAAAATGTGTTAAAGAACCTGTGATAAAAGCTTTGATTCTCAGTTTTCAGGTATGTGGTATGGGAGTGCTTCAGTAATTATCTGAAGTAAAAAGTGCATTCTAGCACCTCCCACCCCCCTGTCAGGATTCCTACTTGTTTCTGCTAGTTTCATATTATGCTGTGAATATTTTTAAAAGTATTATTGGCTTTTTAACCTTAGAGGGTGGAGTGATTTCTGATTACTTTTTTTTTTTTTTTTACTCCCCTGTTAGCCTCCCAGTTTTTGAAAGAAGCCTATTTAACAGTAAATGAGAATCTTAAAAGGGTAGGCATAAAGCACTTTCTGTTCTTTAACATGCCTCAACCCTGGTAGTATTCAAAGCCAGCTTGGATGAGGCCTTGAGCAGCCTGGTCTAGTGGGAGGTGTCCCTGCCCATGGCAGGAGGGTTGGGACTAGACGATCTATAAGGTTCATTCCAACCCCTAAAATTCTATGATTCTCTGACAATGCCTGAAGGAAGTGAGTTGCCTTTTCAGACTGGTGCCTTCTACTCAGTGGTACAGAGTTGAGACCCACAGGAGTAACTGTCTGAGACAAAGCCCAGAGGGTCTGGCCTTGAGAAGGTCACTTCTGATCTGACAGGCACAAACAAAGCAACCTCCACAAGTCTTATTCACCTGCCTGCTCCTAGCTCTGAAACTCAACTCTGGCCATGACTGGGGAATGCAGTACAAATGCTGAGGAAAAACCAAGTACTGTTTGCGACCTGGAAAAGTTACTGTGGTGTAGGCATTGCTAAGACTCCTGTCCTCAGGACTGTGCTTGCAGCAGGTCGTGGTGGGGTGTGTGCAGTGCCTTCATGAGGGTCTCTGGTGGCTGTCGTTGCAGTCAGTGCTGGATGAGATGATGGTGGAACAAACCGACCTCGTTCGCTTGCGGATGGTGCGAATGTCCAACGTGCCCGACACGCTGTACATGGTGAACAACGCGGTGCCGCAGTGCTGCCATGTCATTACCCACCAGCAAGTTAGCACCAACCAGTCCAGTCCTCCATCAGTCATAGCCAACGAGATCCCAGGTAAGGCTGCTGGTTGCTGCCAGTGCCCATTGCTCTCCTGGGAGAGTGGGGTGAGCTGGGGCCTGAGGGAGTGAATGCCACTTACTGAATGCTTTGCTTTCCTTGGAGGGTAATACTGCACCAGTCCCTTTGCATTGGTCTAGTCTGAAGACATTAACTGGTTTTGGATGCCATAGCAAGTAGTTAAAAAACAATCTGAAAACCTTGGACTGGTTAAACTGTACAGCACTTGCAGGAGCATTGTGCTCAGAGTTTTCTACAGGGTTCTTAGTTTCCTGCAACCAATCGTCCAAGATGGGTAAGATCCAGGTGGCTGGAAAATGGCAAGATACTGATTTCTTTGTCTGAAGACATTAACTGGTTTTGGATGCCATAGCAAGTAGTTAAAAAACAATCTGAAAACCTTGGACTGGTTAAACTGTACAGCACTTGCAGGAGCATTGTGCTCAGAGTTTTCTACAGGGTTCTTAGTTTCCTGCAACCAATCGTCCAAGATGGGTAAGATCCAGGTGGCTGGAAAATGGCAAGATACTGATTTCTTTTCAAAATTCCAGGGAGCATGTAGGGAAATCAGCTTAACTCAGTTTGCCAGAAAAATATTGGAAGTAGGCACTCAAAACACTTATTTCAGTTTACCAAATCCACTTTAGCTTCAAAGTCAAACCAACTTCATTCCTTGTGCAGCAGAGAACATTTTTATAGGTGCAAGTAGGTGTGGCCTCTCTTGACTTCAGAATACTTGGTGTGACATTCCCCATGACAGGAAAATACATACTAAATATATTTTGTCATTTATGCATTCAATCTTTTGGTGTCAGACTGGAGGGATTCCCAAAGCATGTAGCTCTTCCCCCCTTTTCTCAGTCCCACTAATAGTCAGTGTGCACAGAGACCACGCTGGCAAAACTTGCAACTGATGACAACCAGCACAAAGGGTCAGTGGGTGTTTTGGAGGGCAGGATTAGGTAGCTAAATGTCTGAGATGAAATTTCAGTTCAGTGAAGGAAGTGGGAGACACTGTTCAGGTAGGTGTAGCCAGCTGTGTGAATGCAGGCTGGCTGAGGGAAGCTCTGTGGACAACAAAATGAAAGTCAACATTGTACAATTCCATAAAAGGCAACCATCATGCTGAAATACAAAAACAAACGTGCCACAAAACGTGAGGTAATTTGGTCTTAGATGGAGGCCAAATCGCGTTTAGCCCTTTAAGTGTCTATACTGGGTCAGGTCAAGGGTTTGTGTCTAGCCTAATGTCTTTATTCTAGCCATTACCAGAAGTGAGAGTATAAGGAAAGCACAGCACAGAAAGCTTATTCAAAATAATTCTCATAATTCCCCATAAAATTCTGTGCGCTTTTCAACCATGTGCAGCTTGGAGATGTCCTGTGGTAGATGGTGTTTCTGTGTAGTTAGTAATTTTAAATGCATGGTTAATCCATGAGGTTATGCAGTCTCTAGTTACACTTGCATAAACTTTTGGCATCCACTTTTAGATCAAAGTATCCCATTTCAGTAGATAGGGATCAGTTTGGCAGTCTCTAGAAAAGCAATAAAGATGACATGCCACCAAGAAAACAGTCATCTTCCTCCTTTCACCACTCCCAGCTCCCCGTTTTATAAGCAATTTGTGTATCAATTATGTCTCCCTTCAGTCAGCTATGATGAAAGGAAGTAGATAAACTATTCTTACAGATGCTATAGAGCCAGGGCAAAAAAAATGAATTGAAATTGCTGCAAGAGAATGTAAGTTGAGCTGTTAGGAAGATTCGAAACATTCTTCAGTTAAAAGTTTTCTAGGAAAGTTTGTGGAATGGTTTTGATCTATTTGCTTCTTGTGATTTGGGAGGAGACTTGGTGAAGCCTTCTGAAAACCTCTGATAAATCTGATAAAAGTACTAATTGTTTGTTTAGAAATTCACAGCTGTGACACCTCAGCAGTGCATTACAGTACTTGGACTTTTCCCACCCTCCACAGAAAAGCATAAATATACTCACTATGAATCCAATGTAAAGTATTTCATTGTAAGATATGACTTTGATAACACTTTGCTCAATCTCAGTTTCCAAGGAGGTTGAGAAGGGCAACAGGTTCTCAAAGGTCTCTAATGTTTTGCAAAAGTTCTCATATTCCAAGAAAAACTGGCTCTGTTGGCAAACATGAGACATCTTGACCAGTCTGAAACTGCCTGGTTTGTACAATTTAAATAGGGAGGAATTTTTGCCAGCCCTTTAATTTGAGCATGGATATGAGCTCTGAGCTTGGCCAGCAGTTGGAGCACAGGAATTGTGTCCTGGTAATTGTCTGTTTTGCTTAGTTGTGTAATTAAGCAAAACAATTGATTGTTTTGCCAATGCCTTGCAGGACGGGTAGATGGAGCCCAGTTCATTTGAGATTAAAGCCTCTATCAAACCTGTAACTTGTGCAGGAACACACCCTGAAGCACAGACAGCACAGGAACTGCCAGGGGAGAGCTGGGCAGTGTCACCTCCGTGCCCCTTGGGCTGGGCTCAGAACAGAGAGTTCTCTACAGCTCATCTTTCTCCATCTGTCCCTGGCATCTTCCTGCCTCCCTGCCCACTGCCTGAGGGCTATGTTTGCATAAACGCTGCTGGCAGGGTGTCTTGGTGCTCTTCCTGCAGCGCTGCTAGAACAATTCAGCCTCTGCTGAAGCCTCTTCTGATTCGAGGGCAGGTTGTACAGGTGGTTGGGTCTCCTTAGGTATCTTCCAGTTTCAGGTTGAAGTAGAAATCCTGCAACTGTCTCGAGAGAATTGTATTATTTATATAGATAATCTTTCTTCCATGTGTTTCACATCAAAAACAGTTAAGAAAAACCCCAAACCAACCAGAGACAAACCTGGGTTTGAGAAGACAGCACTTTTTAATGAAAAACTTACATCATTTTTATACCTACTAGTTTAGAGAACTGCTTCAGGCTTCTCTTAAGGCCTTGTTTTTCAGTGTGAGCAAATTGTTGGGTGTAGCTAAACATCTGGCTGCTAAACCAGGGTTTTTCACAAGAATGTAAGTGTGTGGAAGGTAGCACTGGAGAACTGATTTCCAAGCCTTGAAGACTGGATAGAATGGGTTCCTTCCTTCTCCCAGTACAGGAACTCCATTGCGGGGGGAATATTTTGCACTAGTAATCCTTCACATACCAATGTAAACTCTGTGAAACTGGGACCCGTTGTAGTTGTGTGGTGTTGGATTTTCTCCTCCTCTGTAATGCAAATACCTTTTCACACTGTTCTTGCTGTATGATCTGTTTATGAGCTTTCCTTACGGACATCTGGTCATGGTGATATATAACACTTGTAACACTGGTAAAGGATCAGACACCAAAACTTATATAATCAGAGATCTGGCTTTATCTTCTCTTATGATGTGCACATTTTCCTGAGGATGGAAACACCACAAAGAAATACCGTTAGTCCTCAAACAGCAGTAAGAAGTGACATGAGAAAGTTTTGCAACAGGCTAAATCCCCCAAATTATATATTATTTTCTTCTGGAAAGGTTTTTGAAAAATTATTTCAGTATGGCTGCATAAAACAACATAATTTTAACAGGTTTTTGTTGGCTTACAGTTTGTGTAACTTTCGTAAAATGCACTTTCTCTAGTTACATACTGGTGTTATGGTCTTGTGATTATAGAGTTGCACTAGAAGTATGAAGTGTATGCCAAAAAAAATCAATGAATTCTTGGCCTGGAGAAATCATGAGGGAACAGTCAGTTGTTATTTAAGATATCCTGCCCCCACCTCAAGTCATGGAATTCCTGCATCAGAAGGGTTTACAAAGAAGGCTCTATTTGTGACTCATTCTAGCAGAAGCTGGAAAAGTGGTGTATGTTTTTGCCATTTGTATGATGTGTGTTATCTCATGTGGCTTAGTGATGCTCCACAGAGCATGTGTAAGTAGAACAGTTCTTGGCAGAATGCTGCTTCGAAAAAAAGCCAAACAAATCAGCCTGAGGTTAATTTTTTGCCTTCAGAATAAATCTAACCATCGCAATCACACTTACTGTCTCCATTCTGTGTTATGCCTGCAGTTCCCAATCTGCTGGTGGTGAAAGAGATGATCAAGCGGCTGCAGGAGCTGCGTCACACGGAGCAGGTGCAGAGAGCCTACGCGCTCAACTGCGGAGAGGGCGCCACGGTCAGCTATGAGATCCAGATCCGTGTGCTGCGGGAATTTGGGCTTTCTGATGCTGCTGCTGAGCTCTTGCAGGTATGGAAAAACGCTGTGTAAGGCCAGGAATTGTGTAATCTGCAATGGAAGGACTTTGTGTGCACAAGCAGGTGCATGAGTGCTTCGAAATGCCTGGGCAGCTATGCAGGTGCCAACGCCAGTTGCATCTGATGTATGTGATTTTGTAAATGTGGAAGGGCAATGTATAAATTGCCATTCAGGGGGTTCTTACTGACACAGGTTTTGGGGACAAAAAAAGATAACTCCTGAAGAGGGAGTTGATGAGAACAGTAGAACCATATCTGGAAATCTAGATTATTATTTATTCTTGAATCAGAGAAGAGAAAAAGTGGTAACTAATATCTGAAGTCTGCACAGTACGTATCAGGGCCAGGAAACTGGAAATCCCACTTGTGTTTATGCACTGCTGTTAACCAAGTGTGTTTGTGGATCAACTTGGAGTGGATCTGTCTTGTTTTTGAAAAATGTTCTGTGTTAGCTGCAATCACCCCAGGTTGGTGAGGTGGTAGGTGGCACAACCAGCCAGTTGCAGTACTAGCACATTTCCAGTTCCAATAAATGCTGGTTTAGGAGATTTTTCTCGATGGGTTCCTGCTTTGTTTTGCCTCATGCTGGGTTTTTCCTTTGCAGAATCCTCACAAGTTCTTCCCTGACGAGCGCTTCGGGGACGAGAGCCCAGTGCTGACCATGAGGCAGTCTGGACGATGCCGTGTTAACAGCACTCCCACTGCAGAAACCATGTTTACAGAACTGGACTCTTTTGTGGCCTTCCATCCACCACTGCCCCCTCCTCCACCTCCATACCACCCACCAGCAACTCCTATTCATAACCAGTTCAAAGTGGGCTGGAAACAAAGGGTGCCAAGTCAACATCCCTCACGTTCCTTTTCTTACCCGTGTAACCACTCGCTGTTCCACTCCCGCACGGCTCCCAAAGCTGCTCCTCCACCTGTCTACTTGCCCAGTGCTAAGGCAGTACCACCTGACTGCACCAACACCACAGCTCTGGGGAGGCAAACGGTGGCAGCAGCAGCAGCAGTGATGGCAGCTGAGAAACAAGTAGTAAGTATTGTGATTTCTCCTCTTCTTTCTATCTCTGGCCACTCAAAGTACTTTAAGAATTCTTTCCAGCTCCTTCTATATGATGAAGTAACTTGGCTTTGTTAAATGAAAGAGCATCTTTGTTGGTTAGGAGATTTTTTCATTCTGCATCCCAAAGGCATGCCTTGATCCCTGGAAGAATGAATGTTCCAGGGACTGGAGCATTTTTGGAGGGGCAGCTGGTACTCATCAGTCTTCTGAAATCTTAGAAATGTAGAATATCCTGATTTGGAAAGGACCCACAGGGATCATCAAAGTCCAGCTCTTGGCCCTGCACAGGACAGCCCCAATAATCACACCATGTGCCTGCGAACATTGTCCAACCTCCTCTTGAGCTCTGTCAGACTTGGGGCTGTGACCACTGCCCTGAGGAGCTGTTCCAGTGCCCAAACACCCTTTGAGTGAAGAACCTTTTTGTGATATCCAACCTAAACCTCCCCTGACACAACTTCAGGCCATTCCGTTGGGTCCTGTCACTGGTCACCAGAGAGATCAGTGCCTGCCCCTCCACTTCCCATGAGGAAGTTGTATCCAGCGATGAGGTCTCCCCTCAGTCACCTCTTCTGAACAGACCAAGTGACCTCAGCCACTCCTCGTGTGGCAAATGTAGTTTGCTCTACACTGAACCAAAGCATAAGCCAATTCAGTTGTGGACTACATGCTGTAATTCACATGTAGAGGTAGTGATGGTATTTTGTCTACTCACAGGTAAGTAGTCCTGAAGTAAACAGGTTCCCTTTTTACACATCTGTGAAGAATGTGAAGGCTTTACAGCTGTGAAAAGGACAGGCAAGCAGAAATTGGTAATTGCCAGCACAAAGGGCTTTGTTACAGCATTTCAAAGCAATTGTTGCTGAACTACAATGTAAAGCAATGGAAACAATGAACTGTAAGATTTTGGACAAAGACATAGCTCTGCGAAGTACAAAAATTTGATAATTTATTTCTGCAGTAAAAAAACTATCAGTGCAGAGTTGTCACACTGAAAACTTGCACATTAGATGTGGATTTGACCCTGGAGTTCAGAATGGAAACATGGATTTCATTCTGTTCTCCCTTTAGCAATTGTCTTGAACATATTGCAGTTCTTTTTGTACTTTAGGTTAAAATATTTAACTTCACATTAGAAATGTTTGCCAACATTTGTTCAAGTGTGGGTTTTGTAGCATGTGTCTTCTTTGATCAATACTGACTTCCCTAAGGAAACCATGTAGTCATCTTTTTCACATTAGAAATATTTCTCCTAGAATGTCTCTAAATACTGCAGGGAGGAGCAGAGGCTTGATATGGGCGATTTTTGTTCTGCATTTATTTCTGCAATTTGTGAGTTACTAGTAATTGATGATTACTAAAATTGCTTTCATTATAAATGATAAATGCAAGTAGAAAATCTGACTGTTCTGTCTGGAGGTCTGTGACATGAACATTTCCACTCTGAGACAAGCGTAGGAGCAGGAGAGAAGAATGCTCTGAAGCAGCTTCCATCACTTTGTGGATCCAGTCAGCACTGTAACTGATGTTCCTCCAAGCCCTGAGGCTGTTGTGTACACACTCATACTCACACGTGTGTGTGTGTGTGTGTGTGTGTGTGTGTATGCAGTTAACTTATTTTGAAAAGTGGGAAAAAGAAAAAAAGCAGAAGGGTTGTGCCTCTAGTGACAACATACATGTTTTGAGGCTTCCCTGCACTGGAGCTCTGTGCTGTAACAAACCATTTAAGTTGTGCACTGAGTACCTTGTTTAGTTTGATAGCTGCAAATGGCTCAAGGCAGGTCCTGTCTTTAAGGAGTTTAGCAGTCCAGTGTCCTTTACTGCATATTCAAGGCAAGGTGCATGTAAAAGGAGCTGTTTCTGTGGCACAGCAGCCCCATGAAGGAGAGCAGCAGGAGGGTGAAGGTTGGCGGGTACATGTGTTCTTTAAACAGCACAGGGAACTTGCAGGGTGAGGTCGTCTGGGCAGAGGTAGATTAAGTAAATGTCATGTTGAATTACAAAATCAGTCCTAAATACGGTTTGTGTTTAGCCTTTGTCTGTTTCCATGGACCAGTTTCCTCTCTGTTGCAGTGCACTCAGCCCTTGCTGAATGAACTGATGCCGGATATCGCGATGGGTGTGTCAGCAATGTCGTTAAAAGACAGAAGATTACCAGAGCTGACGGTCGACACAGAGCTGAGCCAGGCAGTCACAGAGGTAGGGCCTGGCCCACCCCAGCACATTTCGTGTATTCAGAACAGACACTTGCCTACATCCCGGAAAAAACATGCAATAGAGCAAAAAATAGATGCTCGAGAAAACCCGCAGGAGTATCCTGACTTCTATGATTTCTCTAATGCTGCATGCAGACCCTCCACTCCAGCACCCAACAGGCACAGCCCCTCACCCTCACAAGGCATTTATTTTGGCCCAGATTTGTATAGCCACAGTAAGGCATCACCAAGTGGCTTAAAGTCAGCCTATCTACCTTCCCAGATATCTCCTAAAAAGCAAGAGGATTCCAGGAGGGAGTACCTGCTCTCCCAAGATGGGCATCAACACAGGCAAAAGAATGAGCCAATACACCTCGATGTCTTAGAACAACCTCCCCAGCGACTGGACTTGGCCCTGGCTGCCCAGGAGAGTGCTGGGAACGGCCCCGTTCACGTCAGGGGAAGAACAAAAATGGAAACGGATTTAACCTATGGGCTAACCTCCAACAGACCTTCCCTCTCTGCCTACACCTCTGAAATGCCAGAAGAGAGACCCAGCAGGAGACTGGCAGATGATGAGCCATTGGAACACGGAGCACAGAGAAACATGGATTTGGAAAGGGAAGATGCAGTAAGCAGAGGAAGGAGGTCTCCAAACAAACCCGACTTCCTGTACAAAAAATCTGCCCTGTGAAAGCAACCTTCACTATTTCTCTGTGCCTAAGGAGTTGTAAACATCCCATTCCTTCCAACTTCTGGCCTGACTTCTGTCAGACAAATTCCTTCATGCCAGCAGAAAAATTCAGCTTCGCTCACTTCTTTTGTACATACATTGCTTTATTAGAGACAGCATGTTATCAGTTTGGGTTTAATGCTGCTTCTGGTTTTATTTTGTGGGAGGTTTGGGTTTTTTTGGTTTTGGTTTTTTTTTTTTTTTTTTTTTTTTTTTTTTTTTTTTAGCAAATTTAATTCAGCCTTTTAAAACAAAAAAAAAGCTGGTACCTTTTTTCTACAACCTGGTCGCCTTTTGCACCTGTACATCTATTTTAGTGTATTAGTTTTGTACTAATATGTTAAACTTTAATGTCACATTTAAAGGACTGTATTTTCATACTTTTGCATTTACCCTTTCACATGCTGATTCCCTATGTGCATTGGGTTGCACATGATGAAATGTATTTTCTTATGAGATAGTAACAACACATTTATTTTTTAATTATAGGAATTCCAAAGAACAGCACATCAAAAAAAAAAATCTACATTTTTAAGTTAGACTTTCTTTTTTTATTTGTTTAGGTCTGAAATCTTCCTGATTTTTACGACTATGGCAAGAATCCAGTCTAATGTTTTGTTTGAAAAGTTCTGGCAGCTGGTCTTATCTAGATAGCAAACCTTCTTCAAGAATTATATTTGGGTTTTTAGGAGTCCAGAGGGATATTTAGAAGCCCAAATTCCTGTGAAATTCACTGGAATATAACAGTTTGAGTCTGTTTACTTCTAGCTCAGCCGTGACCACGGAGAACTCCGTGATCACCCAGAAGCTCTTACTAGACAGGCTAAAGCTGTTGATTTGCCCATGCAGAAATATATCAAGAAACTTGCTCTCCAGCTGCTCACAGGAGGGGTAAGCAAAGACCAGAGCTTGGATTCATGCTGACTCGTGGAGTGTCAGGAAGACAAGGCACAGTTACCTTTGCTGAGCACGGGGAGGTTCCCTCTCCACAGAGAGGTGACTGCTCACTGCCTTCTCCTGCCTTTGGGTGCAAAAGGGCTTCACTCTCAGTGACTCATTCCGTGTTCCTTACCCAGTCCCACTGTTGCTGCCTCCATGGTTGCAGCTGATCCACGAGAATCCAAGGGAAGTCACTGCTTTAGCGTCATGGCACGTGTGAAGCTTGAGTGCCCTGAAATTTCACTTCCATTTCCCAACTTCGCTTTTTAAAGCACAGAAACAAGATCCCTCTGTTAGCATGATGTGAGGAGGGAATGGTGGTGATC